CATTTGATAAGAGCCAATGCCTTTTCTCAATAAAAACACTTAGAAAACTAGAGAAGGGAATTTCCTCCACATGACAAAGGGCATTTATTATATCCCCACAGCTACCATCAAACTCAAGGGTGAAAGACTAAAACTTCCCCCTCAGATGGGGAACAAGTGTATGGATGCCTGCTTTAACTACTGCTGTTCAACACTGTACTGAAAGTTCAAGCAAGAACAGAAAATAAAAAGGAGAACTAATTGGAAAGGAAGAAGTAAAATCATCAGTCTGACACAATCCTATATATAGAAAAATCCCAAATAATCCACACACAAACTATTCCAGAGGTACAAGATTAACATACAAAAATCACTGTATTTCTATACACCAACAGTGTACAGTTCCAAAGAGAAATTAGGAAAAATTTCAGAGCATTTGAGGACTGGGCATCAGAATGGACTTGTAGACCTTTGAAGTGGAAACAGCTTGTTATTAATAGTCCTTGAAGAGGCACATGCATCAGTGCCTTTAATTTAGCACATCTCATATTAAAATTAAGTAGAACAAATAGATTTGATGGTAATGCAGACTGCAAAGGACAAGTGTGAGAAGCTGAACCACGTCCATGGATTCATCAGAGTACCCTGGTCTCGGCCATCCTGCCTCCCCTCATGCCTCAAGAGTCACAGGAAGCTGGAAAGCAAAATCCAGGCCCTTTGGAGGAAATCAAGTCTGAGTCAACCTCTCAAGGAGGTGGAAGGAACCAGGAAACTATTTACTGGGAAGGGTGTTTTTCACTTCAAAAGTTGGTATTTTTAAAATGTTTTTAAATGAAAGAAGGAACTAAAAGTGTGTTTAATTTTTTTTTGTTGTTGTTGTTGTTACTAAGGACCAGAAAGAGGAAGTGTTTGCCAACTACTGCCACATTCCTTAGATCCCCATGCTTCAGAGACTAAAAGCTGGTAGTTGGTTCTATCAGACACAGCTTTTCTTACCCCTTGTTGTTTTTCAGTTCCTCTCTTTTGCTAACAGCTAAAGTAGCATCTGCCGAGATCTGTGGATACAAACACCAGGGAAGGAAAGCTGAGCACAAGGAGGCAACTGCCATGGACAGGGAGCCAGAGGACCTGCGCTCCAGGCTGGCGTCTGCATCGAGGCCGCAGCTGTGTGGCCAGAAGCCCAGCCCTTCCTTCAGGCCGCCTTGATTCTCTGCTGCGAAGGGGAGGCGGCAGGGCTGGGCCGGGGAGGGTGGAGATCCTTCGGACTTCAATATTCTAGTTTTTCATAAACAAACCCTTTCAGAATTCAAAAGAACTCTAAAAGACGGGGGAAGTGACATTGTTTGAAAATAGATGAAGAGAGAGAGACAAATCTGAATCTAAGATGAACAGGAGGCTTTTTACTCTGGGCCACTCTTTTCTACTGGGCCAAAGCTGAGTCGACAGCAGAAGATCACATGGACTGTGGTGCAGGGGTGGAGGTCACACTAGGGAAGGGAGGACAAACAGCCAAACAACATCCCTGTGTCACCAGGGGAGCCAGATCCCAGCAGATCCCAGAAATCAGCCTCATTATTGGGCCACTTTGGGGGGGGGGAGTGAGAGGGACAAATCAAACAATTCCCAAAGAATAAATGAATGAGTAAATGGGCATTTAAGTAAGATAGAAAGCCTCTAGGTGGCACTTACATGTTTCCAGTCTTATTAATTTGTTTTTTTATGTATTTATTTTTAGCTGTCTCTCCATGTAGTTCAGGCTAGCCTTGACTGTTTTTGACCATCCTGCCTGTTTCCCCATTGCTGGGATCACAGGCACGTGCCAACATGCCCAGCCAGACTTGCTGATTTGGTAAACACTTATAAAATGCCTACTGTGTGCTGGGCATCTGTCACAGGCAGTCAGACAGAGTGCTTGGTTAGAAGGTATTCCTAAGGAAATAAGGCATGTGTACAAATACCCAAATTTACAAAGCAAAATGTAAGACCTGCTCCAAAGGAGTTCAAATAAACTGCTGGAATAATTCTGATTAGGGGCGTCTCTCTTTGCACCGGAGCTCAGGAAATGGACTCTACAGGCTGAAGCAAAAATCTGAAAATCCGTCTCTATTCTTCCAGCAGTAACTATTTCCCTGGCTCCGTTTTACAAACGTGAAAACCATGGCAGAATGGGGAAGAATTATTTGCTCTCTTATCCAGAGTTAGCCACACAGCCAGAGAACTGCAAATTAAAACTTTCCCTAGAAAGTAACCGTGAAAGCACATAGTTATTATTATAAAGCTCCTTCCAGAGGAGAAAGTCCACAGTAACAGCCATTCCCTGTCTTCCTTTTCAAAGCAAATCTAAAGGTGCACCAAACAAATTCAAAGGGGGATTTTAAAAATTCATAAGCAAGCTGGAGTAACGTGTATATTTGGCCTAAGGGGGCCGAGCTCTGCCCTCCTGTTCCATTACAAGGGAATTACAGGGGACCAAGGGAGCGGGGCAACAGAGAGCCCACAAAATGAAAACCAAGGCAAGCCCAGGGCTCTTGCAGAGCAGAATGGCCGCAGACTTCTCGGCACTGAATTTGAACGAGCCAATGGCATCCCAATCACTGAAACAGGAAGCCAGATAAACAGCACGTTATCAAGAGGGGATCCAGCGCTTCCCTTAAACCAGCGCCAGCTGCGCCTGTGACTGTCCTCACAAAGTGCCATTGACACACTAGCCGATTCTGCGTTCCGCTGCGGGGGGCGCTGCTGAGTGGGCTTTACCCTCGCTCACTGCCCCACCACCTACCACCCAGCCCTCTCCAGTTTCTGCCTCCATCTCTGCCCTCTGAAGACCTGGCTCAGTCTCCACCCTACCTCCCGTTTTCACAGACCCTGAAGATCAATCAGCAGGGACCACGGGGCCCAGGCACCTTCTCGCTCAGGTGAGCGCCCCGCATCCTGCTCACCAAACTCCTCCTTTCCCCTTCCTCCTCTCTCCTCCTGGAAGCTTTCTGGGCTCCCAAACGCCCTGGATGGGGCGAGCGGCGCCAGAGAAGGCAGCCTCGGGGAGACAGGGCCAGAGGCTGCTCCTCCGGCGCATCTTGGGGCCCAAGAACATTTTCTGGAGTGGCCCCCAAGGTTTTCTGCCCCAGCCTCAGGCTAAGATAGGAGCAAAACTAACTCGCAGCTTCAAAGAAAGTGAGAGAAGATGTGTGTGTGCGCGTGTGTGACGAAGCACTTGGTACCCCTAATTATAGGAACTCAACGCGCTTTAAGTTGCAGGTATTTCACAGGATGGGAAACTGAGGCTCACTAGGGCTGGAGCTGGATGGTCCGGGAGAGTCACTCCCGGATCGGGCTCACAGTCCGCTGGCACGGCGGGCACACCCCTTGCCCGGAAGCCACTCGCATCTCCGCTGTGACTCCGGCGCTTCTCACGAGCCC